CGCAAAGCTAACACCGTAATTATCCTGATTGTCGTTCCAAAAAATTCAGATCGGTTCTTCTTCATTTTCCTATAATGACGTCTCTTAATTTTTTTTTTAAAATTGTTGGAATTCAAATTCGGGCTTTGGTTTGCTAAATAGGGGAGAGCTTTAGAAGAATAGCTCTGAAATACCTACAGGTTTTCTGTGGGGTGCCCTACCAATCTAAAGCCTTAAACAGCAAAGGAAAAATGGCATCATAGTACGGATTTGTTGCAGTTCTAAGTGGGTTTTTTTCCTTCTGAAAGTAATCTTTGTTCCTCTATTTGAGCCAATTTTTGCTTTCTAGAAGCTACCCACTTTGACTCTTTCATTCACAAATTCGCCTCCAAACGCCATTACATTTTTTTTTATCATTTTCGTTCTCTATAAAGAAAAATAAGTTTTGGCTGACCTCCAGGGGTTATCATCGAAATAGGTCTTCCTTTCAGCATGATCCACGGTTTGATATGGTTGATGTGAACATGACTACACGAGCATGTTTCTGTATTTGCAAGGAACTAAGGATAATAGAAGAGCTAATCAGGTAATTATTATGTGAAAAGAAAAGTGCTTACAGCACAAAATATCTTTAGTAGAACTAAGGAACTAAGGATAATAGAAGAGCTAATCAGGTAATTATTATGTGAAAAGAAAAGTGCTTACAGCACAAAATATCTTTAGTAGAACTAAGGAACTAAGGATAATAGAAGAGCTAATCAGGTAATTATTATGTGAAAAGAAAAGTGCTTACAGCACAAAATATCTTTAGTAGAACTGGGTTGGGAAACAATAAGCGATGCCTCAAACTTGTCGTGAAAGCCTTATACTACAGGAGAAACAATGTCGGTAGGGAAGTGGCAATATTCATTATGGATTAGGTGTAAAAAAAGAATCCAGCTTAAGCTCAAAAATAAATTGTTGTTGTGAGGTTATCTATATAGAATGTTGTCTCGTACTTCAACTTGTTCAGTATTTTATATTTTTCTGGTTTAAACTCCACCTCCAATTTTCACGAGTCTGGTTTGATTTTTGGAAGACTGAGAAAATGTAAACTAGTTTAGAGAATGGAAGAACTTAGTTTTGAAGAAGAAAAAAGACGGTCTTGTTTCTGCTTTATGCTTGTCAACTTATCGTTAGAAGGACATCTTGATCAATCCCAGTTTGAGATTAATCGACATTTCAGAAAATGTAACAAACAAATCAAGTTTCTTCTCTTCATGGAACTCTGACTTGCATTCAAGCCAACTTCATTTTAATGATCTGGTTGCTTAGCTAACATTTTATGCTGTTACTTGAACTCTGTTGTATTACTCTATGGTGAGAAGTGATGTTATGGATTTGCGTTTCGTGTTTTATTTCAACATGCACAATATTCAGTCTTCTTGCTATTGCAGGCTCTACCCCCAGTTCCGGCAGTGACTGTAACCTTACAACCACATCACCAGATGCTGCCTGTAGGAGTTGTATCATCGGTAAGACTAAAAAGCTAAAAAGCAAACAACGCAATCTGATCTTTAGTTTTTTGCTTCTGTTTTATTCAACTTTATTATCTATATATGGGTTGACAGATCATTGGAGCCCAAGTTGTAGTAGAAGGGGTGGAGAAGCATACTCCTCTTTACGACGGTTCTATTCTCTGGATAACAGAAAGCAGATCTCCACTAGGTATAGTGGATGAAATTTTTGGGCCTGTCAAGAACCCGTACTACATTGTAAGATACAATTCTGATAACGAAGTCCCAACTGGAATCAACCCGGGCACCTTGATCTCTTTTGTCCCTGAATTTTCCGAACTCGTCCTAAATGACAACAGTCTTTACAAGAAAGGGTATGATGCATCTGGTGAAAATGATGAAGAGGTGTCAGAGGCCGAAGAATTTTCAGATGATGAGAAGGAGGCTGAGTACAAGAGAATGCTGAAAATGAAAAAGAGGGGTGCCACAAATGACCAGAAACCAGGAAACAACAAGGACAAAAGGAAACCCAAAAATAAATCTCAGAACTGGAAACACAATGAATCTGCGGCCGCAGATGTGCAACGTGAAAATGCTAGGCCACCATTCGACCAAAGTCAACATTTTATCTCAACTGCTGCTGGTTCGCTGGATCAAGGCGTTTATCCAAACTCCTCGTTTCATGGACATGGACAGAGTAGTAGGCCTCCGTCCGTCTCTCTATTCCCTCCTATGGAAAAAGCCCCTGGTCAAGCTGCACCGTCGACTGGAGTTTGGACAAATGGAATCCCATATCAGCAGCCACAGAATATGAGCTTTCCTAATGCACTGCCGACTATTGGCATGCCATGGCCACAACAGATTCATCAACAGCAAATGTTTCCAATGCCTTCGCCGAATGCAGTACCTTTTGAGCAGCAAATGAATCCAACTCATCCATCTCCCTTTATCTTCCCAGGCGGGCAACCAAATTTTGGTGCGGGGCCATCATTTCTACCTTGGCCTGCGTTAGGACAAAATGTTTTTAATCAACCACAACTGTCAATGGGTCAAATGACTCCTACGCCATTGATTTTGGGAGGTCAGGTACCAGTGAATGGACCACAAATGGTACAGAACAACAATTCACAACCAAATGCTGCAGGTCCAGGCGCTTATATTAATGGCTCTCCTAACTTCAATCAAGGCACTCATTCTGGTGGTGGTCGGAGAGGGAATCACAGGGGCGGTGGCCGTTTTGGTGGTAGGAGAGGCAGGACACAACGTAACTGAAAGGTGAAAAAATGTACCGTTGATACCATGCACGGAGAAAATTACTTGTAACTTGTATTAAAAATACAGTAGTAGTAGTAGTAGTAGATTTCCGAGTTTACTTCCCCTTTTCCTTTAGGGATCAAGTGTGTACAGGGATATTCACCTTTATTTGTGGTTTCATCAAATGCAATGCATTTTGTCCCAAATTTCTAACTGTTTGCTTTCCTGGAAACCGCATACGATGCACAAAGCATTGGCTAAGCATAATTTGGCAAATATTGAATTACCGTACCGAAACCAAAATTTTTGGTATTTGGTATTCGATATTTTGGTATTCGGTATGGTATTTGATTTAAGTTTTAAAAAAAATATGGTATTAGGTATGATATTTGGTATTTTATAATGAAATACCGAAATACCGATATCGTACCGAAATATATATTATATTACACAAAACACATATTATTAATTATAACATAAATATAAAAAAACTAAAATTTTACTTTCTTTTATTCTCTAAGTTCATCAATTAACTCTAAGCAAATAAGAAACATTTCTAATGATCAAATTTATTTCTTTATGTGCAGTTTTCTCTCTTTAGGTTGATATTTGCTGGTTTTAAACAAAACTTTTGTCAATAAACGTTTTTAGTTTTGTACTTTTGAGTACTTTAATTAAGAATATTATAATCTATGACTTTATGCACTTGTTAGTATTCAAACCGAATAAACTGAAACCGAAAGGAGAAAAATCGAACCATACCGAATTTAATTAGGTACGGTATTGGTATAATATTTTAAAAAATTGAATACCGAACTGAAGTATTTAAATACCGTACCGACCGACGAATGCCCCTAGTTCCACTTTGTTCCATCTGGCTCGTTAACTCTCTTTCTCTGACTTAAAAACGATAATCTTTTTAAACTATATAAGAGTGAAAGTACTAGAGTGCTCTACTGTGGATTTCTCAAGAGAGACGTGTAAAGTTGGATAATCATTCTTTTATTATACTATATTGTTACTAGTTTGATAAATTTATTAGCTGAGAAGTCTCATGAAATAAACAAGCTAGACAAATCTGGTTAAGATTCTTCAACTTTTTTAGTAGGAAGAAAGCGCTCAAAAATTACCATCTCAACAGGAGCTAATAGGCTTAACTCCGTTACGAAATATATTTATTCGCATCTGGTGCTTACATAAATAATTCGATGTTATGACAAATTAAAAAATACATATGATTAATTGATAAAAGTACATATGAGAATTGAATTTATTGATTTGGTATGAATAATTAAGTTTGTTTTTCTTTTGCCTAAGACGTGGCAGTGGGTACATGGTCCTTTAGAAACACTTTCTCGTATCTTTTGGCATGCATATGTGCTTCTTATTCACTGAAGTTCTACTTTGCCTGCCGAAAAAGTACTTAAAAAACTTTTAAGCTTTTGCTTTTTCAATCAATGACGACGTTGAGACTTTGCAATAAAGAAGGTGTATTTGATGTTTACATCGACACATAAATTCTACTTCTACATGGCATAATTAAATTAATTGGGGGGCTCTTTACAACGCATTAACAGAAAAGGAAATTTGGGTGGTGGGAGGCATCTTTTTGGAAATACTTTTATGACTTTTAGCAAAGATAAGATGTTTATTTTTTGTTTAATCAGCAGACACAATATTCTATTACTCTATTAGTCTAATGCTCTATGCTATAACTAGTTTTGGAGTTGTCAAAATAAAATAAGCAGAAAGAAACACTTTGTTGATTTGCCTTGTCCCATTTGATATGACGGAAAGAGTTTTCTGGATTTTTTTTTTTTTTAAATAAATGACTTTTCTTAAAAATAAGTTCTTAAATATAAATTTTACACTTTTTCGGCTACCGAATGTAAATAATTTCTGGCGCGGGCTAAAAGTGATAATATCCCTTGTTTTCCAGTATTTAGTTAGATTGTAAAATATATTCATTAATGTCTGATGATAATTTTACCAAATCGACTAGTGTTTTTATGAAAATTGGATATAGAGATTGATAGTTAATGTGTAAAGTGAGGTCATTAGAAAATATATTCTAGCAATCAAACACAAGAAAATAACTTATTTTTAGAGTAAGTAACTTTTGTATCTTACCAAAACTTTCTTACTCTCTAGAATAGCATGAAATGCAGCTGCTTTTTAAATAAAATCATATTCCTATTAATGCCCTCAAATTCCCAAAATTAATTGATACTCCATCTACTAAGCAGAGTAATAATATTTGGCACCAATCAATATATAAAGAGAAAGCCTTTGATTGTAAATGGAGCAGGGAAACTTTGGGTTTATAATTAGATATGTCAGCAAAAACATGCTGTGAACATTTGCAGGGGTTCGAATAATGGGGAAAACATACCCAGGAGAGAAGAGAAGAGAAGAGAAGATATAGAATAATCAGGCTTTTGCATTACTTGTGAAATCACTGCAAGTCTGGCAACTGCAGTCCGAAAAACGGCATACTTGGCACCCAAAACAAACACAGGAGGTGCAACCTTTACATGATGGAGAACGAGAACATCCCCTGTACACCCTACGGCTCGCTCGTTCTTCTTCATCATCACATGAAACTCTGTAACATAGAAGAAGCCAGCATTCAAATAAACATCCTTACATTAAAAACATTGAACAATAAGACATTTTGATATTTTTGGATGATCAGTTGTAGACAATATTGGACAGGCTCCAAAAGAAAGAAAAGGAAATGATAAAATGAAGTTGTCAATCTACAAACAAATACTTGACAAATTTTGGTAACACAGAAATTGAATGCTTTAGGCAGTTCAACAACTGCAAAACAGCAAAAGTAAATATCACAAGCTATCTACCACCTAATAAGATATGCATAAGCAAACTCTTCTACATCACTTGGCATTCAACCAACTAATAAGATGAGGCATGCATCAATAAACTGTTTAGTATTCACTTGGAACCACAATATTTCAGATCCAACAGAGTGGAAGGGGGACCATCGATGCAAACCAAGAAGGTGGATGGCATGTCCAGTGGAGTCGATCCATTACAAGGACATCAAGAACAGATTCCTTAATGCCGAATATTCTGACTCAATTCTTGGATGGCATTAAAAAATTCCAATTCCCACAAGAAACAGTTATTTCTCTCAAGAATAAGTCGGCTGACTTCCGAAATCTAAAAAAACAAAGAGCCCCCTCAACTAGTCAAGCAGGTTCTGACCATCAGCAGAGATCCCATAGGCGTATGATTTTTTTTTTTTTTTAAAATGGAAACCTTCGAGAGATGCTACTTCTGGGAAAGAAAATGATAGCTATTTTAAAGCAGTAATATCTGTGATTCCAATAGGAAAGACGTTTTGATGGTTGTATGCTATCATACACCTAAAGGTCTTCTCTTCAAATATGTATACTTTTATATGCAAATACAAAAATTTATATTGGACTGAGTAATCCCAAACTTCCAAAACAAAACCAGAAGAGCTGCACTCCAATAATATTTGCTTGAATAAAATGAGCTCTCATGCCAATTTTAGACTAAGAAAACACTACTGGAGGCACTCAATTACAACAATAAAACTTAAAGCAGCTACTTTGTTTTACACCTAATTAAAAGGAATGAAAGCATTAACAGAAGAATGAAGTTAATTCTCTTAATGTTCCTCATGTAATCCTAGAAACAGTCAGATCGCTAAAGTATGTGCTAATGATGGTTTGCAAGGATAAAGATCAAACATTTCTTTAAATCCTTCTCAACATGCAAAAAGCCAATGTCTAGGTCCAATACGAGATGATTGCTTAAAAATAAGACTTCCGGGTAAGTGTGCCTGCCCTTTGCTTCTGTTTGACATAAAAAGTCATCAAGTGCACATTTGCCCTGTGATCTTTCATGACTTTCCTCCTTTTGGCAACATTCTTTTCTTTTCTTTTTTCTTTTTCCTTTTTGGGAGGGGGAGGGGGTAGAACTAGCGTGGATATGATACAGTAATAACTAATAAGGGCATACTGCCTGGTATTTCATGAAGCTGGACAAAAAGGAATCATCAAGTAATTGAAATAGGAACAAAAATCATATACGGATCTCGAAAAACAAGGCAAGAACCCGCATGAATTAGTTAAAGACTTCTAAGACAATCTAACAAGCTGCAATTATTGTCCCATTCCATGACTTCTGCAACCATTCACAGTGCCCCACTTTGGACGAGATAAATTTGTAACTTTGAGCTAAAGATTTTTTCTTTTAAGGAGAAATCAGCCCGCAGCATGAATGTATAAGAGAGTGGTGAGTCTAGAAAAGGAGGAATAAAAGAATCCAGTGACCTATTAAATAAACAAACTTGAATTAGATGAACATACTTGACATAAGGAATATCAGAGCACTTCCAATGCACATTCGCCAAAGCATCATGATAAATTTGGCATTCTTCCTTTGAACGGAGACGGAACCTGCGCTCTTTCTTACACTCAGTGCATCTTAAAAACTCATCGCGATGCACTTTTCCATTTTGAGATCTATGTGACCCATTAGCATGCTTTGAAGACTTGTTATAATATTTGAGCAGTGGAGTCTTTACCACAGGCACTTTCTCACCATTGAGAATGATCCATATATTATTCTTCCATTTCCTTGCAGTTTCTCTTCCAGAATGCTTCTCAAATGCAGCCGGAGTCAGCTTGTCTGATCACAAAACATCAACTCTTAATAGAAGCACAGTGCACAACAAGACTATCAAATAATGCAGAAGAACAGAATAAATAGAGAGTATTCTTTTTCAACACTAAGAATGAGAGGACATATTAATACAATTCTACATAACACATTCAGTTCTCCATTCTTAGATGGACAAGGGAAATCAGAAAACAAAACTAGCAATTGGAGATGAGAGAGCAAATGATGTAGGAGGCAAACTCAAAATTTATGCATACATGAAAAAACAAATTAGTAAATGGGTAAAGAAAATGAACGTGTTATAGCTGAGAAGCTGATTATCTAGATTCCAGATAGAGAAAGAGACTCTTGTTAAGTACAACAAGTACCAGTGTAGGACTTAAAATGTACTTTATCAGATCATTTTTGTATTGTGGAATTTTATTTATCAAGTACATAATTGATTCTTTGTGGCTTATGATTGTAATAAAGAAAAGAGGAAATTACCAAGAAGATGAGTACATAGTAGTGAAAAAAGGAGATACATATCCTTTGACAACTAATGCTGTCGAGAATGTGCTGAGTGATATAAGATTTCTTTATAGTATAAGATAATGTACGAAAATCATCACGCTATGCACATACTACAGCCATGTATTCAACCAAAACATTGCACTATTCCCTGCACAAGCTCCCATGAACATACATTATACATTAAGATTTGATTGTTTTAGAAAGTTGCCACGACAAAGTTTTCAACATGGTGGAACCAGTGAGTTGTTCAACCAGAAAGAACACGCTTTGAAGAGTGTTGGTTTAGCAGAACTTCACCTCTATAAGTAAAACTCTGCATCAAAGGTTAGACCTTTAGCAACTAAACCATCAATAGAACATTATCACATAGTATAAAGCACGCAATGTAGGCTAGTATCTCTAGCTTTGTTAACATGCTTATCAGTCATACCTTAGTAGTACTATATAAGAAAGAAGTTATTCTCTCTGAGGCAAATTAACATACAGATAAAATCTTATACAGAAAGCACAATGGCTCAAAACCTTAAACGCAGAAACAGCATCTTATCGTAAAGCGCAACACAGAGTCCGCGCGCGCGCGCACACACACAGAGAGAGGCGCATAACATGCAATTAACGCAAACCTTCTTGGCAGCCAGGGGTGCATTCACAGGAGATTGCAAGTTCACCAGAAGAGAAAACCCTAAGCCTAGCAACAGCATCACCATAGCGGTGGCTGGTGCACCCACACATCACCTCCACGTAATCATCCCCTCTCTTTACTCCGCTTATCTCTCGCAACTCTTCTTCCGTGAACAACGTGATGCCGTTACTCTCTCCGCCATTCTCCATTGATCGATGCGCCTAGTTTTGTTCTCTGTTATCGCAAACCATAAACCAAAAAAAACAAAAAACAAAAAACAAAAAAGAGGTTTTTAGAAACGCACCCAGAAAGCGTTTCGCATAAAAATCAAAACTTTTACCTATAAGAAACCAAAAGAGAATCGAATACAACAAATGGGTATATCACAACCCACTTGCCATATATATATATATATATATATATATGCGTATGCTTCTCTTTGTGTGTGTGTGTGTGTGTCGATGCAAGATAGATATAAAGATTTTTAAGACTGCAAATGCATTTGCAGAGAGAGAGAGAGAGAAGAAGGACCCAGAAGGAGGAGAGGGGTTATCAGATGAGAGAAATGGCCTGAGCGAGCACAGCACGCATCTCCAAGGAGTCAGTCCAAGAGATCTGGTTGGAAAAGCGTTGAAAAGGAGGAACTTTAGGGCTTTTTATAGAGAGAATACTGGTTTACGAGGAGGGGGTGTAGGGGGGTTGGGAGGGGGTTAGGGAGTTAAGGGGGTGGGTGGTCACTGGTCACTTTGATCAGAGAGAGAGAGGAATCCTCTAATAAGATGAGGCTTTTGTGGGGGTTATGGTTTTTGTTTGGTTTAGAGAAAAAGTTTGAAATAACTGAGTTGGCCAAACTGTGCAGACAAATGTCGTGATTGAATTTGAGAGTAGAGACTTATCATATTACTAATAATTTCATAAGATGAACTTATAAAATACATCAGTATAGAGTTTCTGCATATTTTATACATATATAGGATAGCGAGTTATCATATTTATTTTGAAAGTGAGAGATGGTGTTTTTGGGGGATTGGGGGAAGAAGATTGAAAAACTAAAATCCTTCACATGGGAAGAGGACGAGGTTTTTGAGAAGTGTACTTGCCAATATTTTAACCTCTGCTTAGCAGTTTAGGCACTGTTCTCACGGAGGCTTTTAACTTTTACTGATTTACTCATCAATTTACCTTTTTATATTTATTCAAAATAATTATCTATTTATATAATTAAGAAAAAATTAATTTATTTTTTTCAACTATTTTTATCTATAATTTAATATTTTCTTAATAGATGACAAATTAATCTGATCGAGGGAGTAACAGTGAAGCCAAGACCTTTGCTCTGCCATCCCTTCTATTAAATGTAGGACGAGGACCCCACTTTAGCCCAATGACGGATTTAAGACAAGTTATGTGTATTTAATTATGTATAAAGATAGATTTAAGGGGAGTTTTGTGTATTTAATCTTTATACACGATGAATTTAAGGCGAGTTCCATGAATCATACTCATTCTTTGATTCGTCTTTGTTCCAAATCTTTTTCCCGAAGCGTGATTGGTATGAAAAACCACAGGGACAACACTTAAGGAAAAAAACATAAGAATATGATGATGGTGGAGAAATGGGGGAATAGCATGGATTTCAGATGGGTGGTGGTGCCTGCCTCAGTAGTACAACAGTAACATACTCGATAAGAATAATATATACGTAAATTTTACCTCTACTCGATAAGAAAAAGTTATTTCTGATAAATTTTCGGCGAAGGGAAGTATCTCTCCATAAGCAGTGATGAAGATTATTTGTGTCTTCATTTTGTATCTAATCAAAGCTTTAATTATTGTTGGTGCATGCTGAGCCTCGTAATAGTATAGCTACTCGTAGGTCTGTTTTGGAACCATCATTGGCGACGAAAATTCAAGAGTTTGTATTCCTTATACACCAAACTCCTATTTGGATTTTGTTTTGTTTTTTTAAGGGAAAAAGATTCTTTCAGGACTCTTTAAATTGATGGCTTTAATTATTTGACGATAACTCATAAACACCATTTTTTTGCAAATTCATAATCCACCAAACTAACTTATATATAGAGGCACAATGTAAAACTCTTAGCTTGACTCAAACGCAAAGTATATCTACGTCTAGTCCTAATCCAAATGTACTAAAATACATAGTTTACTTTACGTAATGAAGTTCCATAAAGAGAATTTTAAATGATAGCAAAATGTTAACCACAAATAAGGGATAGAGTCTGCCATTTTTTTTATCCTTCCATATGTGATGAGAGGATAAAAAATGAGACATGGGAAAAGTTCATAATTGCATAGCAAAAGGTCCTCAAATGCCCATGTGACTCTGTTTTCTCTTTTCCAACGGAAATAAGCTGAATATTATTTCCATAGGCAATGTGGTTAGCTATTTGCCAGCCATTACTGTATAAGAGTAGTATATATATCGACAGCTGCTAAATGCTAATAATAAAAAGTAGGCAAGTAGGTGGAGTGTATATATCAGCATTTCACCTTAAAGTGCTCTTGCGTATTGATGCCCTTTTTTAGGATGATGCTAAAGCTCTCTCATTTTTGGAGAATCCCTTTCACATTCTTGTTTTTATTTGCTCTTCACTTCTTCTCCTTCTCTTTCTCTAATTAAAGAAATTATATTTTCCTCCTTTCTTTAGGAGCACCCACAGAGAACATCCCCTTTTCTACGCAATGGAAAATCTATAATTTGGTAAAATTCATAACTCACTCTTCAATTCATGATCACAACGTTTAAATTCTGAGTTCATCATTAGTTATACGACAATCATACTTCTTTATAATAATCATTCTATATAACAACATTTTACTATAATGGTCAAGTTTCCTTTGAAATCGATTTTTCATATTATGCAACATAACATCATTTCTCTATAGCTGCCATAATTTTCGGACAAATGATATCGTTATAAAAAGGTTTGATTGTACCATGAAGGTGAAATATAGTAATTAACCAAGATTTGACTATTCTTTATGACATACACAATAATTAATTTCCTCACTACCTACTGTTGTTCATAAGGGCATCCTTGTGTTACAGACTACCAATAATAACACCCTATTCCATCAGTCCACTTGAAGATAAGAGTAGTATTTTAAATCTACAAAAGCAACTTTAATACTATAAGAGAATCAAGTTGTGATGTTGGGAGGTTGTCTATACCCTATAGTAGTACAAGTTATTATATATGGGGCTTAAAAGACAAAAAGGCGCGTGCAGGGGGCCGCCATTTTCTCCCCCTACATATTCTTTTGCTGCTCCCACTCGATATACATGAAAGCTGCATTAAGCTGAAGCAGAGACTCTCATACATCAACTTCAACCACATTATGAACTGCAACATTTTTAGTGCTATTAAGGGCACACTAAAAGAAGTCTGCTGCATTATTAATGCAGAAAAGAAAAAAGAAAAAAAGGCAGTCCGGTGCGCTAAGTTTCAGTTAAGTGTGGGGTCCGGGGAAGGGCTGAACCACATGAGTCTATTGTACGCGGTCTTATCCTCCATTTATGCAAGTGGCTATTTTCACAGCTCATCGTGACTTCCTGATCACATGATGGTGACTTGACCAGTTATACGCCAAGACTTCCCCTCATTATCAATGCAGACGGAGATATCTAAAATCCAAAATCCAAGCTTTACACACACTATTTATGAGTCATTACCCACTGTATCGTACAGTAAATTGTTTACACAAACGTAACTCTATCCAAAGATATTCTTCGTTCTGATTCTCTGGCTGTCTGTAACCCAGTTTCAAGCTAACTCTACTTGCTTTGCTGCAGCTTGGAGTACTTGATCTTGCTGCTGTGCTATGTTTTCAAGATTCTATATTGCTAAAGATTAAACTTCAGTGTGTAAGCTCATCAACCTTCGATTCCCTTTTACTAGGTGATTTCTTCTCATCTATCCAAATCTTGATGGATAGAGTTACATGTTTCTGGGGAGGTGGCAGGTATCCCGTGAAATTAGTGGAGGTGCGCGTAAGTTGGCCCGGACACCACGGATATTAAAAAAAAAAAAAAAAAAAAACCTCCGATTCCCTTTTAGCCAAGCTTTAATATTTCCGTACTTTAGGAGTTCAGACTATCTTTTCTATACCAGTAGTAGTGTTCGGACAATTTTTAGGCATGGGACTGAATATGTTATCTAAATTAATTTTTGAACCCCTTATGCAACTAAGCTGAAAACCTCAATTATGTCAAGGGAATTCAGTAGTTTAAATCGTTTATCTTCTTTTTTTACACTTCAATGCTTCTATGAAGTAATTGAACACTGGTCAAGTACAACAGTTTTCTTCAACAAGCTAAGAAACTCAAATCCAGCTAGATGGATAAAAAAGAAGATGAGAAAGATCATAGGTTTAATAACTACGCTTTAACTAATGTAAATGAAATGACTTCAAAGCTTAAAATACGCTTAAGCTTGTAATTGCCTAATAATAAAAGCCACCTAACTAACATTTTCTGCAACTTAACTATGATATTTAATTTCCAGAAAGTCAAAAACCTAATCCAAGGGTTGACCTGGCGACATTGGCTCCTTGCACATGTAGAATCATTAATTAGCCACGAATAATATCTTTGACAACGTAATGGATTTAAAATATTTGAATCCATAGTTAAATAATATATAGTTTTAATCATCACACAAATCTTATAACTACCTCAATTAATTTGGGATTAAAGCTAATTTAAAACTAATTGACTTGTATGTGGTATGACTTTTCGTTTCAATCTCAACTTTGATGAAGTTTTTTGGATATTTGAAATGGAAGTATACATTGAATAACTAGCCAAAAAGTCCAGCTTTGATATAGTTGGCCTACCATTTTGGATTCGTGCATGCAATGACCTAGTCTGCTAATAAATATGTAACTATTTTACTTCAGTACACACATATATATAATGTGGCCAGTAAAAATTTACACCCACCTGATATTTACATCAAGTCAATGATAGTAAGAAGTGTGAAATTTTATATACATTTTTTATTTAACTATGGTTAACTAGTAATTTGTATTTTCACTTTAATTTTTATTCCTAAAGTTAAATTGTTTGGTTTGGTATAAACACTAATTTTTACTAATGTGGGCCCTAACTTATAGTAGCATGCATAATATAACCTTTTCCTTTAATTAGAATCCGATGGAAAGCTTTGTTCCGTTGATGTAATTAATTGTTGATCCAAAGATTTATTTAGTGATGTCGTTGATGCCAGCTTGTAGTGTTTAATGAACAACTCTAATTTTATAGTCCAATGATGGCGAAAAGTCTCAAATCCTGTTTGCTGAATAATTTATGTGAATTGATTTAATATTAAGCTGTTTGTTTTAAATTTTAATGTGTCTATATAATATTAGTGGCATATTAAGTACTATAAATTTAGAATATATAGTAGTTGTTAATTTAGAAAAAAAAATGGAATCAGCTGCATAACGTACGTATTCTTTGTGTGCTTATATATTGGTACATATATAGGATTAGTAAATGGATAATGATTACTTGTTATCATCGTAGTTCTTTTTTCTTTCCAACTCGATCGGCAGCTCTTCCTATATTAATTTATGTAACTCGCCCGTGTGGTTGGGTGTACAACGAGAATTAATCTCTGTCTACAATTCAATATAGCTAATACTACTTTGTTTGGTTGCCAATAATTTATTTTATACGAGATATA